TTGTTTTTCAACTTTTAAAAACAAGAACCATTTTTTTTCCTCCTTTTTCTTTTTTTTGCTGATTTGTCTCTCTTCTCATATAAGACAGACAAATGTAATTATCTATATTTCTGTGTGTGTGTTGCCCATTACTGGGTCTAGGATCACTGCTGTGATTTCCCAGACAAGGCTTGCCATTCTAGACTCAAGATCTAAAAAAATTTTGAAAAAAAAAAAATCTCTATCTTTTGATCTTTTCTCTATTTTTAATCTTAAAAAAAAAGTTTTGTATTCCCCTATGGTTTTCTTTTGCTAGTTTGTCTCTCTGTCCCTCATATAGAACAGAGTATTTGCAGGCATCTTATCTCTGATGTTTTTCCATTTTCTGGGTCAACATCACTATTGTGAAGTTCCTTCCCCTTGCAGTTTCAAGGAGCTAGAAAAGGACAGAATATTAGCAGGCATTTTCATCGGTGTGTGTACTGCCCTTTTCTGGGCCTACTGTCACTGCTCTGAATCCCCTAGCCTATGTCCTTCCATTCCAGACTCCAGAAGCTAGGAAATGAAGGGAAAAGTCTCTTTATATTCTGTAAATGTCTATCTTCTCTAATGTAATAAATGTTTCCCTCCCCTGCATTTTTATCTTGCTAATTTCTCTCTTCTTTCCTCATATAGGTCAGATATTTGTAGGCATCTCCATCTCTGCATGTTTACCTTTTCTGGTCCTAGCATCACTCCTGTGAAGGCCCCCTGTCCCCTTGTAGACCCCAGAAACTAGAAAAAGTAGGAAAAAGATCTCTATATATCCTGTTATTTTTAATCTTTTCTAACTTAAAAAAAGAAAGCTTTCCCCCTGCACCTTTCTCTGGCTAATTTGATAGCCACCCCTCAAAAGAAAAGAATATTTTCAAGCATCTCTATCTCTGTGTGTGCAGCTTTTTCTGGGCCAAGCATCACTGCTTGAAGCTCCCAGCCATGGATTTCAAGACCCCAGAAGCTAGAAAGCAATATTTGTATGCTACTCCATCTCTGCGTGTTTTGCCCTTTTATGGGCATAACTACTGTGAAGCCCTAGCCATGGCCTCCTCCAGCACCCACCCTGTCCAGTCCAGTCCCTAGAAGCTAGCAAACAGAAGGAAAATCTCTATATATCCTGTTTTTCTATCTTTTCTAACTTAAAAATTAAAACCTCCTCTTTCTCTTCACATCATTTTCTTGCTAATTTGTCTATACTTTCCTCATAAAGGAAAGACTATTTACGAGCATCTTCATTTCTGTATATGTTGCTTTTGGGGGCGCCTAGAATCACTATTGTGAAGACTGCAGTCAGGGCCCCTCCCTTCCAGACCCCAGAAGCAAGAAAAGAATATGTGTAGTCATCTCCTTCTCTGAGTGTGCTGCCTTTTCTGATCCTAAACATCCCTGCTCTTAAGACCCCAGACAGGTCCTCCCCACCAATGCCCAGAAACAAGAAAAGATTGATAACAACCCTCTCTATTCTGTTGTTTTATTTTATAACAACAACAACAACAACAACAACAACAAATTGTTCCCCCTGCACCTTTCTTTTGTAAATTTGTCTCCTCTTTCCTCATATAGGACAAATATTTGCAGGTGTTTCCATGTCTCCATGTGCTGCCCTTTTCTAGTTTAAGTATCACTGCTATAAAGTTCCCAGCCAGGGCCAACCCACAGCTAGACCTCAGCTAGAATTGGCAGATAAAAATCTCTTTCCTGTTATTTTCTATCTTTCCTAACTTTAAAAAAAGTTTTTTTTTTTTTCCCTGTGCCTTTCTCTTGCTAAATTACCACTCCTTCCCTCATAGGACAGAGTATTTTACAGGCATATAATTTCTACGTGTGCTTTCTTTTTCAAAACCAGCATCACTGCTGTGAAACCCCAGCCTGGTCCCTTGCTATCCTCCAGACTCCTAGGAAAAATCTTACCTTATTTCTTATTTCTCTTTTCTAAATTTAAGAAAAAAAACATTTTTTTTTCCTGCTTGCACCTTTCTGTTCCTAATTTGTCTTTTCCTACTGCATATGAAGCATAATATTTGCAAGCATCTCCATCTCTGTGTGTGTTTTTCTAGGGCAAGTACTGTGAGGATGTCCTAGCAAGGACATCCCTGCTTCAAAACCCAATAAGCTAAAAAAAGAATTTCTATGGGGAATCCCAATATCTGCATTTTCTGCCCTTTGCTGGGTCAAGCATCACTGATGTGTAGCTCCCACTCAGTGTCTATCCCTTCAGACGCAAAAAGCTAGAAAAGCTATGGAAAATCTCTACTCTGTTATTTTTTACCCATTAAAAACAAAACAAAACAACAAGAACAAAACATAAAAAAAAACACAACTTTTTTTTACCCTGTGCTTCCCTTTTGCTAAGTTTTCTCTCCATACTTCATATAGGACAGACTATTTGCAAGTATCTCTATTCCTATGTGTGCTACCCTTGTGAGGCTAGCATCACTACTGTGAAGCCACCAGCCAGGCAGCCACTTCCAGATTCCAGAAGCTAGAAAAGGTAGGGAACCTGTTTAACCTGTTATTTTCTATCTTTTCATACTTAGGAAAAAGTTCCCCCACCCCCGTTCTTTTGCTCATTTGTCTATCCTTTCTTCACATAGCACAGATTTTAAAAAAGGGCAGCAGTTGCAGAGATGATTAAAAATCATCTCCATCTCTGCAAGTGCTGCCCTTTTTGTGACCTTGTATCACTGCTATGAAACCCACAACCATGATTTCCCCCCTTCAAGACCCCAAAAGTTACAAAAGGACAGTATATTTACAGGCATCTCCATCTCTATTTGTGCTTCTCTTTGTGGATGGAGCATCACTGCTGTGCCACCCACAGCCAGGGACACAACCCTTCCAGATCCCAGAAGCTAGAAAACATAGGGAAAATCTCTTTCTATCTGTTATTTTCATTCATTTCTAACTTTACAAAAACCAATTATTTCCCTGCACCTTTATCTTACTAATTTGTTTTTTCTTTCCAAATACTAGGAGTGAATATTTGTAAGTGTCTCCTGTTTGTGCTGGTTGTGCTGCCCTCCCATCATTGATGTGAATCTCCCAGTAAGGGCCGCACTTCTTCCAGTCCCTAGAAGATAGAAAAAGTAGAGAAAAAAATATCTTGTTATTTTCTATCTTTTCTAACTTAAAAAAAATTTTTTCCCCTGGATCTTTCTTTTGCTCATTTGTCTTTTCTTCCCTCAAAAGGAAAGAATATTTGCAGATGTCTCCATTTCTGTTTGTGCTGATTTTTTTTGGTCTTTCATCACTGCTTTTAAGCCCCCAGCCTAGGATTTCCAGACCCCAGAAGCTAGAAAAGAATATTTGCATGCATCTTTATCTTTTCTGGGCCTAGCATCACTGCTATGTAGTTCCAAACCATCACCCTCATCCAAACCTTAGAGCTAGAAAACATAGGGAAAACCTCTCTATATCTTGTTATTTTCTATCTTTTCTACTTTAAACAACAACAACAACAAAACTTGTTTTCTCACTCCATGCTTCCTGCTCTTGTTTATTTGCCTCCTTCTCATATGGTACAGAATATTTTCAGGTATCTAAATCTCTTCATGTGCTGCCCTCATCTGGACCAAGTATAATGCTGTGAAGATTACAGTCATGATTTCTCTTTTAAGACTCTAGAAACAAAGAACCAGCAGTAAGCATAATGGCTATATCGAACTTGTTTTCTCACTCCATGCTTCCTGCTCTTGTTTATTTGCCTCCTTCTCATATGGTACAGAATATTTTCAGGTATCTAAATCTCTTCATGTGCTGCCCTCATCTGGACCAAGTATAATGCTGTGAAGATTACAGTCATGATTTCTCTTTTAAGACTCTAGAAACAAAGAACCAGCAGTAAGCATAATGGCTATATCGATGGATTTCCATGTAGTTGACTGTGGTTTGAGTCCTGGACCCAGTGACTTAAACTCATGCTGGACGTGTGTGCATGTGTGCTCAAGATCCCAAGAGGAAGGTGGAGGAGAAGGGATTGTGGCATGGCTATCCCCCCTGGGGGGATGATTTCTTGCTTTCTCTCTGTCTTTCTGGCGAGCACAGGTGCCCTATATCAAAACCCCCAAAAAAAAAAAAAAAAAGACTCCAGAAGCAAGAAAAGGATAGAATATTTGCAAGCATCTCTATCCCTGCATGGGCTGCCCAATTTGGGCATCATGACTATGAAGTCTTCTGCCAGGGACCCCTCTTTTCTATCCCCAGAAGCTAGAAAAGAATGTAGGCATCTCGATCTTTACATGTGCTGTCCTTTTCTGGATCAATAAATATGCTGTGATACCAAGGCCCCTCACTTCTGGATCCCAGAGGTATAAAAGGTAAAGAAAAATCTCTCTATTCTGTTATTTATTTTTCTAATCTTTTCTAACTAAAAAAAGTTTTTACTTTTGTTCCTTTTTCTTGCTAATTTGTCTCGCTTTTCACAGAGAACAGAACATCTTCAGGCATCACCATCTCTGTATTGACTTCCCTCTCTGGGTCTAGCATAACTGCTATAAAGCCTCCAACCAGGGGTCCCCTTCCTAGACCCCAAGAGTTACAAAAGGTAGGGAAAATCTCTATATAAGAATAAAAATGCACTTAAACTACACTCTGTGACAATTAACTGCTTGCTGTTTTTGCTTTTGTACAAAAGCTTGCACCACTGCTTTAGAAAACAGCACTGAGCTATGCAAGCCACTGGAGCTTGCTTCACTTCTCCT